CAGCAGTCAAGAAATCAGATGATGTATGGTACTGGGCAAATCTGCTGCAAAAGACCTCTTCAAGTGCTGAAGAGCAAACATGTCTCTTTGAAGACTAAAGTGCACCTAACCCAACCATGGTATTTTCAGTCACCTCATATGCATGTGGAAAGCTGGACAGTAAATAAGGAAGACCGAAGAAGAGTTGATGCTTTTGAGTTGTGGTATTGGTGAAGAATACTGAAAGTACCATGGACTGCTAGAAAAACTAACAAGTCTGTCCCAGCAGAAGTGCAGCTGAGATACTCCTTGAAAGAGAGAATGGCCAGACTTCATCTCAGTTACTTTGGTCATGCTGTCAGAAGGGACCATTCCCTGGAGAAGGATATCATGCTCAGTAAAGTGGAGGGTCAACAAAAAAGTGGAAGGCCCTCAATGACATGAATTGACACAGCGGCTGCAACAATGGGCTCAGGTGTAGAAAGGATTGTGAAGCTGGCACAGGGCTAGGCAGTTTTGTTCTTTTGTACATGGGGTCACTATGAGTCAAAGCCAACTCAACAGCATCTAACAACAATAGCAGCCCAGGCCATCATCATCTAATGGGTTGCTTCACTTATGTATCAAATCCTTGGTGAGCACCAACTGCCCAGGGTTGTAGGGAGGCAAAATGATAAAAGATAGATTTATCTTGCCCTTTCAGAACTTAGAGACTTTGGGTAAATGAGGCATTATATAAATAAACTAATGAATGTCAAATGAATGGGAGGAAATGATCATTTTTGAGTAGGAAGTATTTGAGCTTGGGTTTGAGGTAGACATATAGGTTTCTTCATAGGCTCTGGAAAGGAGTAGAAAAGACATCCTGAGTCTGGAATTCAGACAGAGGTCACAGCATGGGTCAGTTGGCATAACTGGACATCTGGTTAGAAATGTAGGGCTCTTGGATCTTGGAGGGCTTTGAAATCAGGGCCCTCTTACAGAAGCCAAAATGCTATTCTTAGGTGTGGGCTGGGGCCAAGATGGTGTGAGAGTCATATGCTGAAATCTGTGGTTTTGAAAAAGTCCTTAGCAGAGGCTTATAACATGTCTGGATGGGGTAGAAGAGTAAATTGGCCAGCTAGTAAGAAGGGGAGGGATAAGGGCCTGGTCTGGGATCTAACAATAGAAAAAAAGGACATTGAGAGACCTTTCTTAGGAAAGATACTGTGAATTTGGTGATTCGATGTTGGGGTCAACATGAAAGGGCAGAAACGCAATAATGGCACCATGACAGAAAGTGACTTTAGACTCTTATCTCTATTTCACAGAGAGCATTGGCAGTTAAGAATACAGATTTTGGGACTGGACTTTGCCTAGGTTTGAATTTTGGCTTTGTCTCTGAAGAGTTGGATGACCTTGCTCTGGTTATTTAACCACTTGTGCCTTGGCTTCCTTTTCTGTAAAATGGTGGTAATACTTACTTCTTAGGGTTTACAGATTTTGAATTAATATATGTGAAGATCCTGGCATATAGTAGGTGCTTCATAGTTATTAGTTGAAGGGATGATGTTCAGAGAAATACATCATTAAATGGAAGAATTGGAATTTGAACTTGGGTTTGTCCAACTCTACCACATTACTTGATGTCCCAGAATCAGCCTTTCTCAGCTCCTGCCTTCACTGTGCTGGTCCCTCCTAGTAAACCTGCTGTGTGTTACTTGACATCAAGCCCACATTCAGATTTCATGGTCCTGTCATTCTACCATCTGACTCATACCACCTCAGCTCCATTATTTAGAGACTTTCTCTCCTATAACTTACCTCCTGTTCTCCACCTGTGGCCTTCACAAAGGGCCTTCCCACCTCCCCTTCTCCTCCACAAATACTGTCCACCCTCTGCCGTCTGGCCCTTGTCTCCTTGCCTGAGTGATTGTGTTCTGGGCTACTACAGACTTCTTGAGTCCATTCCTTGTTCTTGGCATCCTTGCTGCACTGATGAGCTACACCTCACTACTCTGTGCTTGTCTGGACATTATCTCAGATTGTTCTGTAACAACTTCACACACATTGGTCTTACCTGTGAAAAATAATCATACTTTAGTAAAGGTTTGTGACCGCTTTTCTTTTTTATACTCCCCCTGTCCACCCCAGGGCTACTGACCCCAAATCCCCTGCCATGGAGGTGATTCCATAGTAGAATGTCTTTAGGACAGAGTAGAACTGCCCTATATGGTTTCCAAGGCTATAAACCACTCCTGCAGAGTGGCTGGCGGGTTCAAACCACCAGACTTTTTAGTTAGCAGCTGAATGCTTCAACCACCATGCCAACTGAGTTCCTTTCCTAGTGCTAAATGCTCAGTGAATATGTAAGTACTTAAAGGATGGATTAATAAAAAGCATGACTTCTGAGGGGAGGGAACACTGCAAAGAAAGAAAAAAAAACATTGACCCATGTGGAAAAAAATTTAAAATTAAACGTATGTATGTATGTATGTGTGTGTATACACACACACACACACACACAAGAAAATAAATTGCTAAAAAAAAAAAAACACATAACTTCTGATGATCATGGTTGAATGTGCTCATACTTTAGGTCTTCTTCACCTCTCACCTGCACTACCTCACCAGCATCTTTGACTGGTTTTTCTGCATTGCAGCCAGTCTGTTCCCAATCCCTTCTGTATGCCACACTGCCACTGGAACAGTCCTTCTTCACTCTTTCCATGTAATGCTCGTGTTTAACCATCTCTTCCGATCCACAATTAGGAATATAACTCTTCACTGTGGCCTGAAAGGCTCTCTGCAACCTGAGCCTCGCCTACCTCTTCAGTGTTATCTGCTGGCACTTGATTCTGCACATCTCGTCCTCCTGGCAGTTCCCAGAATGTTTTGTATGGGCTTCTTGGCCAAGTCCTCTGCCTGAAGGCCTGCGAGAGCTTACCTAGCAGGCTCAAGCTCTTCCTTCTCACTTCCTTTAAGACTTCAGCAGGCAGAGTAAGTTGCTTTCTCCTGCAGCTCCTCCCACTGCTGTTTGTTCCTTAACTGCTCTCTTCTTCCAGGCCAGGAGCCAATCTGTTGGGCCTGGAGCTCCTTGAGGGCAGGCCCATCTTGGGTATATCTGTACCTCCAGTGTAAGACCTATTAAGTCTTACAAAGTCCAGGATGTGTGTTGATCATATGAAGGATCATTTTTCAAGTAACAAAAAGGTCACTCTTCTTCAGACCAGAGTATGCTTCTAGTGCCCTGACAGATATTTTCCTTTGAACTGTATGAATTATGGTGAGAATTAGCAATAATGGGCCAAAGCTTAGAAAGGGGTGAAATCCAAAAATGTAGAGCTTTCAGGAATGGAGTAGGAGGTTGTGGGTCAGTCTTGCAGGTCTACTTTGGGCCGTCTGCAGAATGGGCCCAGCTTGTTGAATCAGTGAAGTCTTCCAGCAGGAGGAGTGGGAGAGATGCTTTTTCCTGGTGGGCAGGTGATTTATTGGCTGGGAAGCTCCACTGTTACTTAGTTGTGAAAGGACTCCCCGTGAGGCTGGCTGATGTCCGTGGTTGGGCGAAAGTGGACACCAAGACGTGTCATCCCAGCATCACTGAGCTGGAGTGGACTGCGGGGGTCTTTGGGGGCAGCCCTTCACTTTGGGGCCCGGGGAGCTGAACTGAGGCAAGAGAGAGCCCTGCCATTGCAATGCTAGCTGTGACCCGGAGGGAGGAATGGGACCACGAGGCCTGGTACGAGCTCTGGGGACAGGGCCCCGTGTGCTATGCTGAGTACCCCCAGGCCCTTACCGCGGTAGGAGGAAGTTGAGGGGTTTGCTGCCTTAGATTTTACTACTGTTCAGAGAGGAGAAACTGAGACACAGTGCGTAGAAGTCTGGAGCCCCGGGGCGGGGGCCAGGCGGGGGCGGGCGGGCTGCGCACAGATCCAGGCCGCCTTTTGCAGCCGCCCGCGGCCCCGCCAGCTCTGCGCAGCTCTAGCCTCCTCCCCTGGCGGCAGCGGCGGCGGCGGCCCCAGCCTCGCGCCCCCCGCGCCCCGTGCCCGCCGCGCGGCCCCGCCGCGGTCGCACGCCAGCTTCCTGGCTGCCGCCTCCCTAGGCTTTGTGGAGCCAGAGCCGAGTGACAGGCAGCGGCCTCGGCGGCCTTTTGCCTCCCGGACTGTACGGACAGCCTGGCCCCGCGTACCTGTGGCTGCCGGGCCCGGGGAAGTGCGCGGGTGTGTGTGTGTGGTGTCTGCTGCACGCTTGCGGAGAGACCAGGCTTTGCACCCCGAGGTGGGGGGCCAGGGTGGCGAGGGAGCTGCCCGGGAGGAATGGGACAAAAGTGAAAGTCTCCCAGCTGGGCTTGGGAAGGAGGCTGAGACTGCTAAGGAAATTTGGGGGGGGGGGGGGGGGGGGGAGCGTCAGGAGGAAGGAAGGGTGCCCAGCATTCTTTATTCGGTCCTCAGAGTGGCTTGGCTTGTAATGACGGAGATGGTGGGGCAGACCTGCCGGGATTTGGGCTCCCAGTGGGCTTCGCGATATTGGTGCCTTCCTGGTGAATTCTTTGGTTTAACCAAGGTGGTTTTTTAACCCTCTCGGGTGCCTTTCTGGAGAAAAGTCACCAGGTTTGGTTCAGTTTCCCTCTTTTCTGTTCGACATTTCTGGGAAGCGTCGTTCTCAGGTGGAAAGCAGTTGTGCTGTTTTATTGAAACACGGAGCCTGTTGTGCTGTTTATATTTTCGTGGACCATTGCAGAGACTGTGTCTGGTGGCACAGAGGGAAAAGAGTGCTGCTTAGCTTCCGACCCAAGATGCCTTCTCTTCAACGCCGTTCCCTGTCTGGCATGCGTGGGTTGGGGGTCTGATGACACTGCCAGGGCCTGCCCTGGCCAGTGGGCTCCAGCAGTGCTGCCGAAATATTTCTCCCAGCTTACTCAGTATTCCCTAGCTAAGACTTTTTCGTGGTGGTTATTCTGCTGATTGCAGACATCTTTGCTTTGCTGACATCCTGTTTTGTTTTTGGTTCTTACATCCCATTTGTTGTTTCTTTTATCACAGAAACGCTTCGTTAAGGGACTCAGGCAATACGGCAAGAACTTCTTCAGAATTAGAAAGGAGCTGCTTCCCAATAAGGAAACAGTGAGTACAATTGGACTTTATGTAACTTGATTTTTTCCTCTTCGCTCCTGCTGCTTCTCAGCATTTGATCTTATGAAATGGTTTCCTTTAACCCTGTGCTGTGCTCAGACTCAGGCGGCTCTGTAGGATTGTATTTGTTTTAACACCCTTCACTTTTAGTTTTAGCTCATGCTTTTGCAGAGTAAGTAGACATATTATGCTTATCCTTTTGTAGAAAGCAGACTTCTGTTTTAACTCTAAGAACAGAAAAGTCTTTGGGAATAGTGGATGGGGAATTAATATGTAATTTTAAATAAAGTATCTGAACCAGGAAACGTCATTTATCACTAGTTTAGATACAATAATTGACAACAGCCTTCAACCAGATCATACAGTAGAATTTAAAGGTTTGTAGCTAAATATACTATGATTTATAAAGGGAATTTTTTCTCTAAATAGCTATATTTTGAAGAGTAGTTTTAACTCCTTAATATTCTGGCCCTCAAAGTTTGCACTTTTCATTAGACAAATATTCGAGGTTCTTGTAAATTGCTTAAATGGGGCTTTTAAGAATGACTTTGATATTTCACAAAGCTGGGAGTCATATCTGACTCATAACAAACTTGGGGGAAGAGAGTTTACTGAGGAAACTTCAGAGTGAAGTTAAATGAAGGGAATGCTGGGTAAGGGATTCAGTCTTGTTGACCTGTAATTGCCTGCCCTCCAGATCTCCTTACAGGTAGTAAAGGAGGAGGATGGGGGAGAGTTTTCCTCTAGTCCAAGGAATAGGGGATACTGCAGGTGGGGTAGGGCCAGCTGCTTCCCAGTCTTTAGCAGGGACCTAGGAACTGGAAATGCTCTTTTCAGCACTTGGGAAATATTTAATCTGCTTACAGATCAGGCTGTTTTTTTAGGGAATATGGGGATGATGTGGATGAAGAATATCCATTATACAATGAGATAGGTTTTTTTTGTTCTTGTGGTTTTCTAATTGGGTATTACATATGGATTTTCTCTTCCTTAATTTTGATCCTGTTTTTAAAAATGAACGGTTTCTGTACACTTTTTCTGTAAAATACCTTAAGAACAATGATAGCTTATAGTGGGGGAAAGGGGTTTATGAGATTTCGAGCATAGATTTGTATAAATTGATGGTTTGAGTCAACCGATGCGAATTAGATTAAACTTTTAATATTTGTCACACTTCTGGATATTTTAAGAGGGCTTATCTTGAAAATGGTAAAGAAAGTGAGAATCGTTTATAAACATTAAACTAAAATGTATACTATCTAACTGTATATAATCACTTTTTATAGAACACATTATAAAGAGGTATTTAATATAGAACAGTGAAGGTAATACTGTTCATTCTTCCGTGTATTTCAATTGTTTGAAGTTTGAGATGTACATTTAAAACTTAAACTCGATACCCTAAGTAGGAATTTTGTTTTGGCTGAGTGAAAATGAGAGTGATTCATCAATAGGGCTGGATTGTAACCTCTCAACATTCTCTGTTTATCCCTGTGCTCTGCTAAAAACGACAAACCATGAAGAATTTGATATAACAAATCTCTCACCAGTTATTTTATCCTTTTGTTTTTTAAAAATAAACTTATAATTAATATAAAAATTACTGTCTAGCATTTGGAAACGCTAGGGAATTTTATCCAGCATTTTTCTCTTTAGTAGAAATGAATCTGAATAACCTTTAACCTGTGTCAGGCTCTTCTAATCTGTTTTGCTTCTTGCTCTCAGCTGTCCCTTATCTTAGTGATCATATCTGGCTCAACAAATAGCCTTTTTCTTTTGAGCTGGTTCTCTGGTCTTCTTTCCCAGGCACCTCTTTCATGACACTTTGAGACCTTTCTCCATCACTCTTCTGCTGCCCCTGTTTCCCAACCAAGTAGCTCTTTTCCTCATTTCTCCTCTGGCACCCAGCAGTCTTCCTGTTTCCAGCATCTTCATCAGGGCAGGGCCAATGGAATTGATGGGAGACTTCTTTCTAGCACCTGGGGTAGGGGGAGGTTATCATGGCTTGACATTTGCTAGACATTCCTAGTGTCTGCTGTCTTTTGCATTGAATTGGAGGAATGTGGTGGATAGTAGGGTAAATCTCTAAATATTCCAGTCGGCTGGATGAGGCACTCATTTTAGGCACTCATTTTACATTTTGCTAAATTATCAACATAACCATGCTAATCATACACAATTTATTCGCGAGGCAGGACAAAGGTTATTTCTCATGTTTGCAGCAGAAGATAAGAAACTTTTCAGATACCATTGTTCTCGTTCAGAACTTCCTTAGTAGAAATCTTATGGTCTTGCCCCCTTTATAGCAAATACCTTTTCTCTTCTGCCTACCAGAATTATTAACTGATTTCTTTGCCATTCTCAAGTGACTTGAAACATCAGAAGGGTGTCTGCATCCAAAAGAACACGCTTGATGGGCATCGGCGTGAGGGTCAGCAGACCTGTGTTCTGTTCTTGGCCTTACCTATAATATAGTACTTGATGATCTCTTTCAGTGGTGTCGTCTGCTTTGAGCTGCTCATTGGGAACTTCAGGTCAAATCCTGTCAAGGACTGGGAAATTATTTTCTCTATAATCATGTTTCTTTGCATGAGGAAATACTACAGTTTTGTCAGTTCTGCAGTCATTTTATAAAATGCTTGGACATCTGTGCCTGCATATGAAGTGATGGTTCTTACCTGGGCTTCCTCTGCTGCTTACCTGCTGTGAGACCTGACGTACATTATTCTGCCTCTCTTTTCTACACTTTCAGTGTCTATAAAACAGGGTGATAATTCCTGTCTCCTAGAATTGTTGTAAGAATTTAGATGAAATAATGTCTATAAAAAGTAAATTAAAACACAGATGATTTTTTTTCCCATTTATCTATTCGAAATACTATGAAAAGCAGCTAAATTCAATGAAAAGTACAGTGTTACATTCCATTTATAAATATATTAAACCTGTATTTAAAAAAAAAAATTAACCTGTTTTGCATTAACCTGTCTTGCCAGAAAAATACTCTTTTAGTTGAAAAGCTAAAGGATGTGGAAAGTAGTGCCTAGTAGTTTAAAAAATGTATTTCCTGGTCTTTGAAGCTTTGCTCAAGAGATTCCCAGTCTTATCAGTTCATTCATTGCCATGATACTATGTCAGGGAAAGGTTCCAGGTGAACATGGACATAAACGGCTTTCCTAACTCTCTTGGTTTCTAGTGTTCATTACGCAGAAACTAAATCTGCCTTTTTCTGAATACTGCTGCCCACTGAAGTGGGAATAGTGGCTCTGGTTGTGGAAAACCAACATATTTATAGAGGTTTAGTTGAATGAGTATTATGTGTTAACTTCACGGTACCCGAGAGAATAAATGCAAGTTAAATGTTTAGTATCACGGTTGTACAAATATCCGGTAGGTTATTGCCTCTCCCATTCTCTATAACTATTTTCATCCCCTCAGTATGCTTGTAAGATGTATAATTAGTTGGTAGATTATGGTAAGATGACTTGGCAGAACATCTTAGATTCACCTTGGCTGTTTACCTCTTCTCCCTCAAGACATTGTTGGTCTAAACCACATCAGAGTTTTGAGTGTTAGTACGCGTGTGTAAATCACAATGAGCTGAACTTCTGTGTGGCATAGTTTCTGGCCTCATTGATTCTGTTTTGAGCACTGTCCCTTTATCATAGGGAAGATTAATTGCATGACTTTGATGTTAGCATGTGGAAAAATAGGAGGCCTAATATACATAGCTAACTAGCTATAGTATAGATGCAAACATATATAGTATAAAATTAATAAATGCAAATCTTAATTATCTCTTGTTATGAATAATTCAAAATGATGGGCAATTCAAAAATAATTTGATTTTTATATATACTGCAGTTTTCTTCGAAACTATGAGGTGATTACTCAGTTGGCAGCACCATATATCTTCTCTCAGGCTGAGAACATGTTTGTGTTATTTGAACCAAAGACTTTCCAAGTCTGGCACCTGGACAGTTGTCCCTTGAATCTTTCCTTTGTGTACAGCTCTAGCTACTGTTACACAGACAGATTCAACTGGAATCCACTGGTTGACAAGGAGCACTTCCTCAGTGACCTGGCACTGCTGTTCTTGTCTCAGATGCGACATCAGTAAGAGGACAATTTGATCTGCTCCCAAAGTCCTAGTCTCTGGAAGAGACAGAAGGTACATGCCCCACTCTCACGCTCTCATTGCTTTAGTTTATTCCTGAGCACCTAGGCCAGTAGAAGCTAAGCTCATGTTACTTGTAAACTTAGTCAGTGCTGCCTTAATATTTACTGTACTAGAAATTCATTTTCACTACTTCCTATTTCCAGAGCTAAACATTTTGAATTGTTAAATTTTTTAATTTTTTACAATTTGGGTATCCACTAAGTGATGTGATTGGGTTTCCTATAAAGAGAAACAAGGCACCATTGCTTCCTTCCAGGGAGCCAGCCTTATAGCCAGAAAGATGAACTATTTACATGCCTGCCATGAGTGGTGGTGGTTGTCACATGCCATCCAGTCAGTTCTGACTCATAGTGACCCTACTTAGAACAGAGGGAAACACTGTCCTGTCCTATGCTATCCTCACAGTTGCAGCTATGTTTGAGCCCATTGTTCCAGCCACTGTGTCAACCCATCTTTTTGAGTCCCATGAGTAGGTACTAAAGGCCCTGGTGGATGTTCAGGCCTCACAAAATGAGGACAGAGGCTGGGGCCTTCCAGAAGGCTCCTTGCATTTGAACTGGTGGGCCTTGAAAGAAGGATACAATTTTGACAGGCCATAGTTAGAAGAGTACCGGAAAAGCTGCTTTCCAGCTGGAGGAAATATCGTGAGCAAAGGCATGAAGACAGGAAATTGCGAAATGTGTCCAGCAAGTACACCGTAGCATGGCTAGAGAGAAGATCGCATGAGTTGATGCTGTGGGACTTAGGCCATAATTGTGGCTTGGACCTTGAACTCTCTCCAAAGAGTGTGTCTGGGTAGAATGAAGTGAGAGCA